AGTAATAAGTTGTCTGGTTTTATATCATTGTGACAAATATTATGACTATGTAAAAACTTCAATCCAGTGGCAGTATCCTTAAGGATCCTTTTTATATCCTCCCAGTTCAGCACTGTGAATCAAATTTAGTTTATTGTTAGTATAATAAATTAGAGTCTAATCAATCTTTCTAATTCTAAATTGGTAGTTTGGTTCATACCAGCAATCTTCCCCTTTACGGAAGAAGTCATCGGCTCATATACAAGATAAAACTTCCCATTATCTCCATTTTCCAGCTGATCTACTCTTCCCATTTTGACAAGTCTGATAATGTTGGCATGATGGTACTTGTTGAGCTTCATCAGATAGGTTGTTTCTGCCTGTAAAATAGTATGTATCACAGCAGTTAATGCTAACAATTTTCAAATCCTAACAATCCTACAAGTTCTATAAAATACTGAGATCTCTTTTGGTGCCTACCAGCCACTGTTTTTCATGTATACCCTGATTGTCCTTTTCCATCATTTTGGCTGCAAAATCTTGACCGTCCATTTGGATGCAACGGACATTTCCTGTCCCTGCCACACCCTCCCCCCCAAGCTGGGTGCCTTGTGCAAACAGGTTCGAAAAGTCACTCCATTCCATCTGGTACTCTTTTTTTGAGGCCTCAAGCTCCTCTGCGTTCCTCACAGCTTCTGCCTTTGCTTTGTCATTTTGACTGTCAGAAAAGAAGTTAACTATTGTGGAAATTGTTTAATAAACAATCAGAATTTCACGCCGGTGATACTGCCAAACAATTAATTGGGCATACTCACACTCCGACGACCACATTGCAGAAAAAGCAATAAATGATAAGCCAAAATAGCAATTAATTGATGCATTTTCCATTCGCAACAGACACTCCGGCGAGTACTTAATGATGATTACTAGCATAATTTATTGAAATAGATAAACCAAAATAGCAATTAATTAATGCATTTTCCATTTGCAACACACACTCCGGCGAGTAATTAATGATGATTACTAGCACAATTTACTGAAATATTATAATAGAAAAATTTTGCTGAGAAAAGCAGACTTGAATTCTCGACTCTGTTTGGGCCTTCCCTTTGGAGGAGCCATAATTGCTGCCGTCGATTGTGCTTCCCAAAACCCTGACTGTGATTCCTAAAACCCTTCTCTTCCTCCAGGGTTAAAACCCTTCTTTCCTTTACCCACTATGTTCTTTTTTTTTTTTTTTTTTTAACCTAGCTAATGGCAAAACTACGTAGTTTCATTTTTTTTTTTTGGGGTAAAAATCACATATTTCATTATTCAGTTTAAATTTTATTAATTTATTAATTTGAAATTTAGAAGGGCAATGCAATGATAATTGTGGATTTTAAATTTAAAATTTAATAAGATAAAGATTGAATTCCAAATAAATTAGAGTTTTTATTATATAAGATTTAAGGGTGTTTGGATTAGTTGTTTAAATGTAATTGATAGTTGATAATTATTGTTCTTTATACTCTTAAGTATTTAATCTGTTTAATTAAAGTCAACAATTAATAATTGTTTATAAAATATCAAAACAAACATCATCCAAATTAGATTTAAGTGGGAATTTTCAATTTTGTTTATTTTGTAGGTAAAACAATGATTTTAATTTAAATTCATATAGTCTTTAGTATTTTGTTAACAATAAACAATAAATGGATAATTCTAATTTTAAGAGGAAAATATTAAAATCTTCAAATAAGATCATAATTTGAAATTAAATTAAAAAATTAAAATAAATTAATAAATAAAAAAGTTGTTTAGATACTAATTGTTTACACCATAAATTGCAAAATTTTAAATTAATGCCACGTGTAAAATTTTTATTGGCTGGAGGAGTTTTGAGCCATGGATCCTGGGCCCCATGACAGATCAGCACATGTGTTGGCAAGATAGGAGAGGTAAAGATAATGTTTTATGGAGTAATTATCTTTTTGAAACAGAAAGAGATAATGGCAGCTGGAAGATAGGGGAGGATCACATTTAAAAAGGGGATTTTATCTGATAAAGTCAAGGTGGCAAAATCTGAAAGGGGATTAGACTAGGTCAAAAGGTGAGGTGTCCCACTACTCCAACAAACTACCTATGATTGAGTAACTGCCGGCACAAAGAGGAACAAAAAGGGAACTTCTGCACAAAGAGGAGGACACGGCCAGCTTTACTCAAACAACTGCAACTTTTCATACTTTGATTTTCTCTGCACATGGTTTTCAGATTTCGGTTTTCAGCACAGATTTCGTGTTTCAGCACAGATTTCGTATTTCAGCACAGATTCCATTAGAATTAGGTTGTTTTTCCTTATTCCAGTAGACAAATTTATTCCTATATTCAGTTAAAACAATTTTCCTTCATGCAATGAACTTCAATCCTTCAAGTTTATGCAAGGTATTGTTTTCTTTTTATTTGTAATTAATTTAATGTTTATGTTAAGTAGCATTGCTTCAATGATTACTTATGTGGCCTTCATGCTTCTTTCCAATTTCAAGCTTCTTCAATTTATTCACTGTTCATGTTATTTATTCACTGTTCACATTTAATTTCAATGCTAAATAGGTCTAAGTTTCTAGATCTGCAGCAATTTAATTTCCGAATCTGTCAATAGATTGCACTTTTAATTTTACCATAAGCTTGTTTAATTTAATTTGGAAACACTTCTTCCTCGTAAGTTTATTTTAAATTGCAAGTAATTTAGAATAATTAGGATTTGTTAATTGTAAGTCACGGTAGTGTTTAAATCCTTGGAGTTGTTCAAGGCAGATTTCGTAACCCATTCTGCAGGAAGGTATCCCTCCCTCTTGCAAATCGTCTGTAGGCGCAAATTTCATTTTAATTCAACATTCTTCTCGCCATCTGCGAAGAGGTCGACCGTGAGGAAGGAGAGGGTTGTTGGAAAAATCCTCATTTCTTACTTTCAGCAAAGTAAGTGGCACGTCCGCATCAGATTTCACACGTGCGAGGCCACTAGAGGATTTTTGAGGAAACACTAATAAAATTTTATTTATTTTTAATTTTTAAAACTTAATGCATTTTAGACATTAATGACAATAAAATTTCATAAATAATATCGATTGATATGAAAACGGCTGAGTATCTCTAGAAAAATTTGTATACAAGTACCCAATCCAATACCCATCTCACGAACAAGGGGCCCAAAACAAGCTTACAACCCCCAAACTGCTAATGTTACGGCTTGATAATTGGTAGACTTGGCCCATAATTAAAAAAAATTTGGGTCCTGGGTGCGTTTTGGGACGTACGGAAATTCAACTTAGAATTAAGAATCAAGTTAATGAAGTCTATTTTCCTCTTATGCTAAATTGTTATATCGTTTTTTTCTATAGTTAGAATCGGAACTATGTTATTCAATAAAACTTTTGAACTTCATTTTAAAATTACGTAGCTTAGACAAACACACTTTAACCTCATCGTAAACTCATAGAAACATTTTAATTGATTTTATTCAAACTAGATAATTCTAAGAGTTATTTCTTTTGTAATTTAAATTATATTGAAATACAATACATGAGCCATTAAGCACAGAGAACAACCATTAATTCTGAAAGAATATGCTCTCATTCAATGACTCAAGTTATGTAGTTTGATATAATCCATATTGCAAAATACTCTTTTTGTAGTTTTAACATTGACTACTGTACCATTTTTTTTTTAATGTAAGTCTCATAAAAAAAATGAAAAGAAAGAAAGTAAAAAAAAAAGAAAAAAAGAAAAAAAGTAAAGAGGTCCTGGGCCCAAAATGCGAAATGCCTGTGGTCCACCTCAGCGGTCCACCTCCACCCTTGTTGAAGTTGGGAGTCCTGGAATGTGGTCTGTGGCTGCACAAGACATTGTTATCCATTTGCGTTTCCATCTTCTATTAGGATTAGGATCCCCATAAACATGGGATTCAATTAGATTGGAACTTAGGCTGATTTTGTAATTATCATCTGTGAACCTTACGGGCTGATAGTGATAATTCGGGAAACTTGGTCCATAATTAAATTATTTTTGGGTCTCAATATTTTATGACGGAGAATTCGATTTAGAGTAGAACATATATATATATATATATATAAAGCAGAATAGGGTACCCTGGATTTCTGCCGCGAGTATGTTAAGAGGAAAAGCCGAAAGGGGTTTGGCTTGAAGGGTTTAATTCAATTGAGAAAAAGAAATCATATCTGCTTTTAAAGGTAATTTCCTTACTCTTTGACTCAACGATTTTATGCATAAAATTCTGCTCTTTCATTGTTTAATTTTATTTTTACATCGTTCTGTTTTGCGCTTTTCTTTGTGTATATATATATATATGTGTGTGTGTGTGTGTTGCTTCTAATTAGTGAAAGGAAAAACATCTCTTGAAACAGAAATTCTGTTAAGATGGAAGCAACTATGGCAGGCACTGAAGATCGGATTTCGGATTTCCCAGACGAAATCCTCCATCAGATCCTATCATTCCTTCCTATAAAAGCTGCAACTCAAACCACAGTGTTGTCCAGGAGATGGAAACACATATTGGACTCTTATCCTGTTGTTGATTTCTCTCAAAGCTCCATATTTGGTCTTCGATATGAATATATTCAGTCGCAGCTTGACTCGGATTTTTCCCGAAAAGAATGGCCTCAATATTGGGAAACTTTTGAGAAGTTTACAAAAATTGTGGATGACAAACTACAAAAACTTTGTGAATACGGGATTGGGATCCAGAAATTCAAGCTTTCCATCGCTCTCGTGGATCCAGAATTTGATTCCTTTTTTGACGAATGGATGGATGTTGTCTCAGAAAAACATGTCAGAGAGCTAGACCTCTTAATAATGGTGGGAGGTGGAGGTTGTTATGTTTTGCCAGAAACAATCTTTGCTTCCAAATGCTTAACTGTTCTAAAGATTTCGGGTTTCAACCTAACCTTAGTGCATCCTGTTACGGTAGACCTTCATTCTCTACGAACCCTGACTCTGAAGGGGGTATATCTTGATGAAGATATGCTTCAAAACCTTATTAGTGGATGTCCTTTAGTGGAGGACTTGTGTCTTTCTTTCCGACGGGAGTTAATGGGGGACTCGTGTGTTCCTTTCCCATTCAGGATAAAAATGGTAAATATCTGTGGGCTCTTTAAGCTCGCAAATCTCACCATAGGGATGCTAAGCCCTGGTCTTGTCCCTACTATAAAGTTGTCTAGGTGTCAAGATTTACGAAGAGTCTCACTACATCAAGTTAATCTAAAATTTTGTGTGTTTAATGATGTTAATTTCCCTCAAATTGAGTTTATATCTTTATCAAATATCACTTTTAACGAAGTGTGTAAGATTTCCAGCTACAGACTCAAGACATTGATAATAGATGGTTGCCGGCGGGAAGAAGAAAAACTCAACATTTTTGCACCAAACCTGATTTCAGTTGAGCATACATATCTAGTCCACTATTCTATATTGGGATTCTTCAAATTCTTGGCAGATTTGAATGCTGACTGTAATCTAAAAGTTTGCCTTTACTATGTAAATGGTAATCTGCATATTCCATGGTACATCGGGCTGAAGGAGCATCTACAAAAGCAAAAACAAACCAAAACTCTAGAGGTGTTCTTCGGACATCCTTGCGAGGTATTCCCTCTAACCGCACTACCTTTACATGTGGTGTCTGCTTCATACATAATTTGTTATATTCATGACTAATTAATTAATTAATTAATTTACTCTTTTTTTTTCTTTTTTTTTTTTGGGTAAATCCAGATTGTATTTGATTGGGAAGAAGCCGAGAAAAGCAATTGTCTTTTGCCACCACATGCCCTTAACTGCTTGGTCCTTAAGTGCATGAGTCTTAAGATACTTTCATGTTTAGATTTCAATGCTGTTATGGATAGTTTCTTCTGGTGTTGTCGTCCTCAAGTCCTATCTACTCATACTCAACCAAGGCGTTTCATAAAGGTATGTTGTTCATCTTTTACAATATCTCTGGAGTCATGTCTACTTTCATTCTTTAAAGAGAACATTAATTCAACTTTAGTACAATAGATATGATATAAGTATTGAGTGATTGAAGGATAATTTTTGTATACAACATTTTCATACAAACTTTACGTGTGATTTTATGTTTGACTTTGTTATGCATTATTATGTGGAACAATAGACCTTAATGACATATCACATAAAAGTTGTATATAAAAAAGTTTGAATTCATGTTTTTTTTTTTTTCTTGTTTAATAGAAGTGTAATAAAGGAAGAATTCAATATAGAAATTAATTACTAGAGAAGTTAGAAATTAATTAACTAAAGAAGTTTAATAGTAGTTTTTTCCTTTTGGTATACGAAAACTTAAGTGCCTAGTATTATAAGAATTTGAATTCCTAACCTTGACTTTAAATCAAGGATTCGTAATCATTTTGTACCAAGTCAGCCAAGCTCTATTGATAGTTTAATGGTAGCATTCTATCTTAGAGACAATAAATTTGCGCCTTTAACACAATTTTAACTTCCTTACAACTGAAGTCCCTTTTAGAGACTAAATTATAACTAACCAGGTACTAAATCCTTATTAAAAAGTTTTGCAACTCATAAGTAGTTTAAATTTCCTAAACGGCCACTAAAAGAAAAAAATTTGAGTTTCGTTTGTGTTTATATACATATATAGCTACTACGGTACAACCTGCTGTGTGGTTTGCATTAATTATTGCTGTATATATCTAATTTCTGTAACTTCTTGCTTGGTATTTAGGTAAGGAGCCATTTTTTTCTCCCCTATTTTTATGAGAGCGAAAAAATTGGTTTTCAATTCCTTCACAGATACTGAAAAAAAAAACATGCTTTAAATTCACGTTCATATGTATTTCTTACTTAAACAGTATATAATATATGTATGCTTAAGCAGTTTCTAATCAAATGAAAAAAAAAAAAAACAGTTCCTATTCAAGACGTTGAAGAACAGAGAAAATGAAGGCTGTTGCAGTTCAAGTGAGATTAAATGTTGGAGGCATGAAGGCTGCTGCGGTTCAAGTGAGATCAAATGTTGGAGGCATTCCTTGAAGAAGGTGAGCGATGTTGTTATATTCGAGTACAAAGGGATTGAAGAAAAGATGCCTCTTTGCTGGGATACTTTCAAAAAAACTGCACCAGAGAATTGGGTATATTGGGAGAATAAGGTGCATTTTTTCTTAACATGGTGACGATTTATCCTGATTTATTTGTTTTGAATTACTTCACCAGGCAATAAGGTCTGAAGAAAGTCAGAACTAAGCAAAACAATACTTTTGAATTGTCCTGGTCCTGGTTTATTTTGTTTTGAATTACTTAACGTGCGTTTTTTCTTCCTCTCTGTCTATTGAAAATGTCCAACATCTAAAAAGTGGTGGAAATGGTGGTTGGGAGTTGCACATTTTATAGTAATAAGATAAAAATGAAAACTAAGACCTCTGTACATTTAGATGTCTAGATTTTCTATAATATTATTTAAATATCTTCATAATTTTTTTATATTGATTTATTAAGCGTATTTTACTTTTTTTCATTATAAATCTTGATTTTCCATAATCTGTTATAATCAATCCGTTATAATCATTAATATAAAAATGTTCAACTTTCACATCTTCCACATTTATGTTATAAAAATTGTTAAAATTAATAATAAATTTTAAATAAACACTTAATGAGTTTTTAAAAATCCTTAATAAACTCCTTAAAATTTTTTAAAAAATCCCTTAAAAGTCTTACATAAATACTTAACAAACTTCTTTTTAAAAGTTTAAAATCCATTTCAAATTTAAGGGTCTAATTTTCTAATTTAGATAGTGGGATACTATCTGATTTTACTTCAAATTGTAATTCAATTAGACTCAACCTTTACTTTTTGAGTATATTATATATATATATATATATATAAGATAATAAGATGAGAAGATAACTTCTTCCTTTTTTCTGTTTCTTTTTTTTTGTTTCGTGAGCGTGAAAATCTAAAGTTTCTTCTTTTTTTGGGTTAAAGCCAACTGTAGTCGTCATACTTTGTGAAAATGTTCATTACCATCCCTCTACTAAGGAATGTTCAATGTCATCCCTTTACTTTTCTTACATCATAATTGTCATCCCTCGACGACTCCTTTTTTTGTTAGATATCATCCTTAATTGGATGCCATTCATTTTGCTGTTAACTTTGATTGTTAATTACCTAACAGTCAAACATTTAACTTTTGTTAATTAATTTTTTATCTATTAATAGAATTTGTTAACTCTCTATTAAAACAAAAAATATATATATAAGACCAATTATCAAAAATTAAAAATATAACAATTTAATTCCAAAAGTTAAAAAAATAAAAAAATTAATAACTTAAAAATAATTAGTAAATGACTTTATCACAGGTATGAGAACAATGTTAGGTATCTACAATTAGATCAAGTAATTAACTCAATCTAACTAAAGAAATCTAATTAAGATTTAAAAAAAATTTTGGCTATATTTTTCTGATCTCTTAAATTTTCTATTTTAATTCAGTTAAGAAATTTTTCTTAATTTCAGTCAAAATTTTTTCTCCAAATTAAGCTAATCACTCGATTTGATTATAAATATTTAATACTGTTTTAATATATGTTTTAGTACATGTGAAAAAGTCATCTATTAATTCTTTTTAGTTTACTAATTTTTATAATTTTTGAACTTTTAGAATTAAATTATTACATTTTTAATTTTTAAGAATTAATCCTATAACTGTTTTATTCTAATTTTAACAGAGAATTAACAGATTTCATTAATTTAGGTGTTAAAGCCAGAAAGAATAATACAAAAAATAAAAATAAAAAACTAGTCCCACTAGCCTCACTAGGTGGATAAAAAATTAATAAACAAAGGGTTATTCTAATTTGTGTCTTAAGGGTTATTCTAATTTATGCCTCTAGGATACCGGTTAAAAGTTTTAAAAAAATAAAAAGTAATATTTAATTTATTAACTGTCTAATTAAATTTATCTATGTGACAATAATACTAAAATTAATGTTTACTTTTATGTTTACTTTTATATTTTCTTATACAAATTTATTACAAAAAAAAGTATCATTAATATGTACTCTTAGGAAAATTTATAAACAAAAATTGAATATTTAATTGTTAGGCAATTAACTGTCAAAGTTAACAGCAAAATGGATGGCATCCAATTAAGGATGACATTGAACAAAAAGGGACAGTACAGGGATGACATTTATGGTGTAAGAAAGTGGAGGGATGACATTGAATATTTCCTTAGTAGAGGGATGGTAATGAATATTTTCAAAAAGTATGAGGACTACATTTGGCTTTAACCTTTTTTTTTCGTGAGATATATATATTCCCCTGTACT